GAAGTGCCCTTCTTAGCTAAAATGTGCCCACATTACACCCAGAAACCAGAACCATGGTTCTCCTACCTTACCAGCCCCATGTTAACAGAGCAGTAGGTTCTCTACTTGGTATTTTCTGAATGGCGTTCAGAGTCATTCTCCAAAATATATTTCCTAGTAGTCTGTTCTTTTTTATGACTTTTATCTTTCTGTTATAGTTCTCATTTTGTTCATGTGTCATTCTCTTGATTTTCTCGATTTGTCTTTCTGTGTTTTCTTATAGTTCACTTAGCGCCCTTAAGACAGATATTTTGAATTAATTTTATCAGGCATATCATAGGTCTGCATTTCTTTTGGATCAACTACAAAAAGTTATTTTGTTCCTTTGATAGTGTCATATTTCCTTGATTTTTTTAATGTTCTGTGAATCTTTGTATTGCTGCAAGAAATATTTGAAGAGGTATTCTTCAAATATTGGAAGGAAACACCTTCCATCAGCCCTTGGTAGGGATTCAGAGGCTTTCCCGGAAGGCTGTGGATATGCCATCTCCATACTACTTGCCCCCTCTTGTGGCAGAAGTTTTATTTTATTTTATTTTGGTATATTTTTTTTTTATTGGAGTTGGATTTGTCTTATGCTATATGTATAACACCCAGTGTTCATCCCATCAAGTGCCCCCCTCAGTGCCTGTCACCCAGTTTTAATTGTGTGTGCCTTCTCTTGATCCTGCAAAGCCAGGCCAGGGGCTGACCGCCTTCCATTTGCCTTCCCTAGGGCAGTGTTCAAGATTCAAATTTGTGCTCTTTCTCCCAATCCCACAGAATCAACCAGTTTGCTGCATGAGCTCACTAATCATCAGTAAAGACTCGCTCTTTCGGCCTCCAGGAGTGCACACAGAGCTGGCCACAGAGTGGGTGAGACACTACAAGCAGAGGGGTCCCGGTGCTAGTTGGGGTAACTGTGACCGAAATTGCGAATCCGAGAAACCACCAAGGAGCCGACACCGATGCAAACACACGAGGGTTTATTAACAAGCTCGAGCTTGGGTCCAAGTGTACCCGACACAGCCGAGCAGGGACTTGGACCCCCAGACTAAGAGGTGTAGCAGCTTTATAGGGGCCACTGGCCGATGGGATACACAGAAAGTTGCACAGTCATGTCGGTCCACACGCAGGTGGCCGATTGAATTACCTACAGTATCCACTTGAGCTGGCCTATCCCTGAGCCGATTTCCGATTAGGGTGTGCCCTGGGCTTGACTAGGGTGGGGCAGCGCCCTAAGCAATAAGCAGGTCGTGTGGGGGCACGGGAGGTGGCCGGTGCAGCACAAAATGGAGTTAGTCCTGCTCTGCTCCTGGTAGGGGATTTTTGTCAGATTTCGTGGGTCCCACATAATCTTCGGGGGAAGCCTGCTCAGAATGTCATGGGAGGGTTTCTTAACAGGATCTGTGAGGAGGTGATTGGTATAATCTGCATCCCCTTAATGCCCCCCCCACACACACACACACAAGAGCCCTAACTCCTCCCCATACCCAGTCTCCCCAGTTGTGTGGCTTCCCTCCACGTTCTGGATGGGGTGAGAAAGAAAGGGGTCGGCTTGGCAGGATTCCTATACAGCTGGGGACACCAGGCGCTCGCTCCTATGCTCTCGTTTTCCCTCACGGGAAAAATCACAGCCCTAGAAAGTCTCTGGGCCCTGAGCTGCTGCGGACTGAGCGATGTGAGCAAAACAAAATGTTCTTACCTTCTTCGATGTATCCAGTTCCCGATCTTGTTGCTCAGGGGGGAGCTGGCACTTAAACCAATTCCTGGATGTTCGCAAACGCTCTTGTCTGTGTGTGATGGTCTAAACCAGTGTTCTTGGTGGGGCAGACAGTGGAAAGCTGTTACTCTACCCTGAGGATGACCTCATCCCTACAGTCTCCGATTCGAGTGCAGGGCTCTTCCGTGTGCACGTGTGGGCACGTGCATGCTTGTTGCTGCTCACCACCCTTGTCCCTTTTGTGAATGCAGATGTTTCCTTATACTTGTAATGGCCTCTTATCTTTTTGTACGTTTTTTTGTACATCCTGGTGGCCTGCTTCTTGTTAGTTGGTGCGTTGCAAGTATTGTGGTTTGTCTTAGGACCTTTGAGAGTGGACCTTTTACATTTAAATATAGTCAAAGTATCTATCCTTTCTTTTGCCAAGTCTATGTTTTAGGCAGTCTTGCCGAAGATTTTGTTTCATAGTGGTAGGTCATAAGTATATTTTCCTGCATTTTCTCCTGAAATTGTTGTGTTGTCTTTTACATTTTAGTCCTTAAGTCACATAATTATTATCCATATGTAATGCGACATAGGAAATAAATTCAATTTACTTTCTTTGAATAATCCTTAATCTGCAATACTGGCACTGTCTTATACCAGACTTTATGAAATGACTGGCTCTGTTACCAGGTTTCTTATTCTCTTTCATTGTCTGTCTTCCCCAACAGGAATATCATTTGTCTTAAGAACTATAGCTTCATAGTATTTCTCATTTCAAATGAAGAAAACCTCCTTGTCATGGCCTGCTTTTCCAGGAGTGCCTGTACTATTTTCGACCCTTTGCCTTTCATGTAAACTGCTAGAATCAGCTTTTCTCAAATTGCACTGAAAAAAATCTGCTAAAAATTTTGCTCACTTTACATTAAATCCATACATTAATTTGGAGAAAAATATCATGATTCTGATATTATATGCAGTCTTTCTGTCTCATGATCAAGGGTGTGGAGAATCAGAGAATAGCACAGAAATACCGACTAAGGTCGTTGGGCAAGCCACTCCAAATCACACCTTCATGTTGCTGTCTGCTGACTAAAATTTATCCACATAGAGAACTCTTTTTTAGATACATTTCTTCTCTTTGATATTGATACTGAGTTTTCTTGTCCATCAACATAGACAGATTTTTTCTTTAATTTCTTGAATTTTCTTTAATTTCATTCAAAGTCAGACACTTTGATATCTTTTGGTTTTTTCATAGTTGCTTTACATTTTTTTTTCTAGTGAATATGGTATCTTTTGATTTAACTAACTCCCGACTATATGTTGCTGGTTTATGGAATGAAATTGACATTTGACTATTAACCTTGGATCTGGGACCTTGATAAACACTCTTATTAATTCTAGTAATTATTTGCAAATCATTTGGGTTTCCTATGTTGAAATCATATTATTTGAGAATCATGTTTTACTCCTTCGTTTATAATACTTATAACTTTTATTTCTTTAAATATTTTTTTATTATTCTTCTGGCTTGGATTCCTAACATCATGTTGAACAGAAGGGCTGATCCTTGTTTGTTCCACATTTTAAAATACTTATTTTTAATCTTTCAATATCAAGTACAAAATGTACAGTAGGCTTTCAGTGGATTTATCAGTTCAAAGATGTTCTTCCCATTCTTTTTTTTTTTTTAAGATTTTATTTATTTATTCATGAGTGACACAGAGAGAGAAACAGGCAGAGAAACAGGCAGAGGGAGAAGCAGTCTCCATGCAGGGAGCCTGACGTGGGACCCGATTCTGGGACTCCAGGACCACACCCTGGGCCGAAGGCAGGTGCCAAACCGCTGAGCCATCCAGGGATCCTCTTCTTCCCATTCTTAATTAGCTAAATGTTTTGTCTGTTATATAATAAATGGATTTTTCTTACATTTATTGACAATATTTTTACACTGAAGTTATTTTATATCTATTGGCTAATCATTTTACTTTCAAGGATAAAATATTAAATTATTGCTGGTCATTACTGCTTCAGCAAAATTTCTACATAATACTTAATATTTTTGTGGGAACAGAGCACCAGATGGGAAAGCTATAAAAACAGGGCCCAAATAAAAGTGCAGCACATGGGACGTTGTCACAGAAGATCAGAGCACTGGAAATCCCTGAGGCTAAAGGAAGCTATGAGTTACCTGAGCCCATAGGGCTTCGGAAAACATAGAGATAGAGAAACTGAGACTAGGTAAGATGGTAGAAAAGGGAACTGATGGTATAGAGATGACATTATTTGGGTCTTATAAAAAAGATATTTTGGGGGTATTTTGCATTGTTTTAAAGATTTTATTTATTTATTTATTTGACAGCACACAAGCGGGGGGAGAGGGGAGAAAGAACCAGACTCCCCACCAAGCAGGGAGCCCCACATGGGACTTGCTCCCAGGACCTCGACATCATGACCTGAGCCAAAGGCAGACACTTAACTGACTGAGCCACTGAGGCACCCCTGTTTTTTGTTTTGTTTTGTTTTGTTCTCAAAGAGAAACAAGGAAACATAGACAGGAATCCAGGTAATAGAAACATGCCAGGTCACAGAGGGGCCCCATTATGTGAAGAAGAAGGAACAATCTTCAAAAGTTAATGAAAAGAAATGTAGTGCAAATGTGAGGACACGTTTCTTTAAATGTAAATTAATAAACTAGTGGAATCCATTACCCCCACGCATTGGCTTAGAGGCAAAACTAGCTGATTAGACTATGGAATGCAGCTACAAAGGGAGCTATACAACCCATGCAGGCCCTGGTGTGGCAACCCCTGCGTGAGACACTCTCGCCTCCTCTGTCCTTCGTTGCGTGTACGGAACTTTGCTTGAGCATTGATGACTTTAGTTTTCCTCTCTTGTGAAAGCCTTGAGAAAGGTGACTCTTTTTCTCTATGTTTCTTCTTACTACTTCCTACGTTCTCTCAAATATCATGTCTGTTTAAAAGATTAATTTTTAAAAATGACCTTGACCACTCCTTCTGTTGTTATGAAGTTCAGGAAAGGGAAGTGCCACAAATAGAAGAGAGGAGCATTTGGAACAGTTTAATATTCTGTAAGTGCCAGTGAGGGGCCACAGAAGAGAACATTCCATCCCCCTCCTGCTATGGCCTTCCTTCCAGGTTTCCACAAAGATCAGATAGAGGAGATGGCCCCAGGAGAGCAGCAGGACCCAAGCACATGTAACCAATTGCTTTCTTTGCCTGTAGTAAAGTTCACATTTTGATTGCTTCTCCAGATTATGTTGATCCAGACATATTTTATGCAGTCATCCGGATCTTTCTCTCTGGGTAAGTAAAGTTCAATTGTTTTCCTGCATGAGGCCTCTGTAGCATATGCCAAATTTCTGAGAGGAGATGGGAGCTTCCTATGGCAAGAAACACACCAAGAAACCCTTGCTAGCAAAGTGATCATTTGGATCCACCCTTGGATAAAAGAGGTGGGGTACCACCTGCATGACAAATGACACTGAAGGTTGAATATTTAAGCTTGTAATAATTTTCCTTAGACCATCATATTAGATTCATTTGTATTCATTTAGAATCCCATCTCAGTGGTAGAAAAAAAAGCCAGTATGTAACCATGAAGCTCGATCATTTATATCCAATCTCTTCCCCTTGTTACCAAGGCAGATGAGAGCATAGAAAGTGGTTTAAAAGCTTTCTTCTAATGTTCCTAGAAGAGCTACCCCAAGCCATTTGTTCTATTTGCAGGTGTCTTCTTTTGTCACATAGCCTGTCATTTCTCCAGTTACAGAACTCTACCCTTAGATACATTTCTTCCTTTAAATACATTAGTTCTATCTTGACATGTTTTAATCAAATTGCTTTCCTATTCATATTAATTGAGAGAAATTAAGTGTATTTGTTTTATTTTTTAATGGTGAATAGGGAAAAACAAAAATAGTGAATGAATGAGGTGAAAAATGTGAAATAGAACTCACCTCGTGTTCCATCTTGATAATGAGGAGATGCTGAAGTGCTATTGACAGAAAGAATCTGAAGCTGTGCCTGAAAGTAATTAGAGACAAATCCAATACCAAAACCATAGATTTGCTGATTTATCAGTAGATTTAGTGGTATATTACATTGGTGCAAAAAGGGAATGGCAACATGAACTCAGTACTTTCTCTAGATCGAGTGGGTCTGGAGTGTGAGACACTCAAAGGGGAGGCCAGTGTGGCCTCAGTAGGTCTCAGAGAGTGGAAGCCAGAAGGTCTCCAGAAAATAACTGGAGAGTGATGGGTACCTGATTTATAAGGAAACAAGAAAAATGGGGAAGGGTGCAGAATGGAATTGGGGGTGTTTCTCAGAGTTCAGACTTCTGCTGTATGCCTACTCAGTCCCAAGATCCTCTCCAAAGAGATTATCTATCCTTAGACCTCTTCTTGCTCTCTGTGCATTTTGCATGTGCTCAGGGTTAAGACAAAAGATTTGATTATACAACAGTGATTCCAGCAACAATTGTTTTTTTTTAATTTTTATTTTAAATTTTTATTTATTTATTTATGATAGTCACAGAGAGAGAGAGAGGCAGAGACACAGGCAGAGGGAGAAGCAGGCTTCATGCAGGGAGCCTGATGTGGGACTCGATCCCGGGTCTCCAGGATCTCGCCCTGGGCTGTAGGCGGTGCTAAGCCACTGAGCCACCAGGGCTGCCCTTGGGGCAATATTTTTAAAATTCTACCCATCATGATGAAATGGTCACTGCAAGGACATATTGTTTTCATTAAAATAAGTTCTGGGTCAGTGATGCATTTTATCTTGATCTACATGAATGTCTCCCCTCTGCCTGATTCTCAAAAATATTTCCCATGTAGCACAACTACATCGGAATACCAATACATCTTAAATTTATTGATAAGTGTGGATGACTAAAATCATCTAGACTGTTGAGAATTCCTAAGACTTGTCTTGAAAAATCGAAATCTACTCCCATATTCTTGGTTTGTCCTATGTTTGATTTGTTGTTTTCATTTACTTTTTTAAGAAAAATTTATTTGGGAGAGTTTCATCATCTGTAGATTAAACGTATTCTTTTTATTTCCCTCTCACATTAAATTTCCAGGGAAGTCATCAGCCCCTGTGGAAAATGTCACTTCACTTCTTTCTTATTTTCTTTCTGTTTACATTTCCTCTTAGGTTTCTTAGAAATATGCTATGAGAAATACTAAAAATAACCTTGCCTACAGAGATTTGAAAGGAAACTAATTCCTTTCTTTTACCAACAGTAGTTTAGGCCTGAGAGTACACGGGAGCAGTTCTTGGTCTAGTCAGAGAAATCCTACTTCCCATCCTCAGACTAATCTCATCATAGGTGGAGAACATGGGTTTTCAAAGTAGGTCCCCTTATTTTATCTTCTTGGACTTATGTGCTGGTGTTTTCCCTATCACCTTCAATGTGGCTTTAACACATCCTCTTCATGTGAGGCACCAAAAAGAGGTTGATTGATGTCTCCTGGCCATTTGAGCATCTGAGCTCTTTAGAGCTGGCTGCTAGGTCCTTTCCAGACAAACTTTTGGGTCTACATATTCTAGACATATAGTATGGAATTATGGAGTGATATTTTTTTCACTCATTCAGTCATCAACTATTTAGTGAGTGCTTACCATGTGCCAGGCACAGTTCCTAGTTGTAGGTGTGGTGCAATAAAACAAAACAGCAACTTCATTCCCATGGAGCACATTTTAATGATATGATCCAGATAATGCATAAATTAATATAATTAAAGTGAGTATCATATACTATATGTTACAACAATAAGTGATGTGGGAAAATGCAAAGTAGGACACAGGACATCAGGGAGAGATAGGGATGGTAGCTGAAGTTTCTTATTTATTATGATCTGGGAATGCCACACTTCTAAGTGACACTCGTGCAGGTATCTGAAGGAAGTGAGAACTAAACCACCTAGATATTTATTCCAAACAAAAGGAACAAAAATTGCAATGACTCTGAGGTTGGAGCATGCTTGTCATGGAGGAATTGTTGCAACGAGGCCAGTATCACTGCAATGGAATACACATGGGGGAGAATGCAAACGATAGAAGTGATAGCAAAAGACCAGATCATGTCAGAGCTTGTTGGCTCCTTTCTGAGAGAGAAAGTCAGTAGTAGCAAGTCTGGATAAAAATGACATGATCTGTCTTAAGTTTGAATCACTGATCTATCTTCTAAGTGAAAAATAGATGATTTGAGAACAGGCCTGGAAGCCAGGAAAGTATTAAAGAAGCTATCCCACAATCCAGGATGCTAGCTTGGACTAGAGTGAAAGCAGCAGAGGTGCTGAGAAATGTTCAGTTGTGGACATGACTGAAGGTAAAGTAGACAGGATCTGCTATTGGATTGCATGCAGAAGGGAGAGAATAAGATCAGTTGAAGACGACACTAAGGTTTTGGCCTGGTCCACTGAAAGGAAGGAGTTACCATTTTCTCTGATGAGGAAGGCTGTAGGAGGAACAAATTAGGCAAAAGAGAGGGGAAGTTGGGAGCTCAGTTTGGGACATGCTCCTTCCTGTGGTGATATCTGTAAATAGGTGGTTGAATACATGAGTCTGGACCATAAGGGAGAGGTCCAGGTAAAAGTGTATGCTTTTAAATTGTCTTAATATAGTTGCTTTTTAAATCAACGAAGCTAGATAAGACCACTTGGGAAGTGAAAGTAGCAAGAAGCTGAAAGATTGAGCCCTGATAAAGTCCAACACTTAAAGCGTTCATTATGAGGAGGAGAGTGTTGAAAGAGACCAGACTGACTCTCTGAGATCATCCACAGGATGGCAAAGACAACTCTGAACCAGTGTGGCTTGTCTTTGCTCACTTTTTCAATACTCCTCCACCATAAATGGTTATTTAGAGATTTTATTGAAGCAGTGCTCTGAGCTCTGACAAGTCATAAAACTTCTCATGAACCCATTTAATTATGCAGCAGCTTTAGGAAGTAGGTGCAATTTAGGACTGAGACTCACAACGGTGTGTGCAAAGTTGCAGCGTAATGAATGGAGGGAGCAGAGATTCCAACTCACCTGAATAATATAAAATGGCTAATATTTAGCAAATATTTAATATGTTTCAGGCACTGAGCAGGTATTATTTTAATTCGTTCCCACAACAACCCAATAAGATGGATCCTAGTATCTCTTACCTGAGGCTCAGAGAGGTTAATTAACCAAGCCAATACTCACCATTAATAAATATCAAAGCTGAGATTAAATTCTTTGACTGCCTGAAAAAGAGCCCTCTCTCCCAATAGCTACAGCATCTTCTAATCTTATGATCAGAATCCTTCCTTTGCTCTCCCCATCTCTGCTTTCTATGCCTCATGTACTTCCAGAGTGATGCTCCCCCAACTGCAAAGGCCACTCTGACATTCATGCAGTGGAAACCATAGAACATCTGACCAAACAAGTCTCCAAAGAAAACACCACAGCTCCTTATATCATTTCCTACCTCAAGAAAGTATTGGAAAAAGGTCATGAACAGCAAGAGCAGTCTGGCTATGGCTCTTGCATGTGTGTAATGCATTTCCCTTCTCTTAAGCAAAATGACTTTTAGAATTAAAGGAAGAAGGTGAGACATCAGTGTAAGCCTGTTATTTAAACCATTCCCAGCATGGACTGTGGCTTGTTCCTGGCAATAACAAAAAAGATTCTATTCCTTAGTAAAAAGTAAAAATCTATATGCAGGCATCTCAAGAAAATGGAAATAGAAAATTACAAGTTTGGGATTTACATTCTGGTTTCCCCATTTCTAACAATCTGGAGCCTTAAAGATTTGGAGTCTTTGTTTGTTTATCTGTAAAATGGGTTTTAGAAAAACCTGCCTTCATCTACTCAAAAGAGGTCAAATGAGAACATGAAGTTGAAGGGGGTGTATACGGTAACATGTTGGCAGTACAATTAGAATATGTTCTTGGTGCTATTGTTTTTGTTTTATTATGGAGTCACCCACATAGTCTCTGGAATTAGTCAAGACCTATAAAAAATGTGACCAGGAAATGAATAAAATAGTTGGAGGCAGAAGTAGGGCAACTCAGACACAAAAAGACAAAGAAATGGAATCAAGGTGACAGAAGAGGAGAGGAAGGGAGGAAGACCCACCTCATGTGAACAAGATTCAGGGCCTCAATTCCAGTCCATCTACATGTCCCTCTGGTAACCTGTAGGATTGCACTGTGTTCTCTTTATCGCTGCCCTCATTATCAATACCTGTTATCAAGAATATATTTGACAAAGGTGCTCCCACAAAGTCAGGTAGTATTTACAACTGACAGTTCAGCATGACAACTGTTATAGCTGTTTCAAGGAAGGGCAAAGGTGTGTGTGTGTGTGTGTGTGTGTGTGTGTGTGTGTGTGTGTTTACTTTCAAAGCTCTACTTGCAGAGTTAAAGATATCAGGTCATCAAGAGTAAGGTTAGCGGAAGGACTGAAGATTATTCCAGAGCCGCTAAATTGCTCCTATGGATCAGCACTGATATCATCTTTATAAATGAATTTTTCTAGTAAATATGTCATAGGAGCAATGCTAAGGATTCTTCTCTAAATATCCTTTACTTCTCTAGAATAATCCTTCAACTGAGGAAAGGAAGGGCTATATTCTGTGGCCTGTTAATGATGTTGAAGCATGGTTAAGGACATGTCCTACAAAAATATCCAGTCTTTTGCTCTAAAATTAGCATTGAAATTATGTTTACTTTCTTACTCAACATTTCCATATCAGAAAATATGCTCTTAACTTCTAGCACCCACTCCTTCTCTTTGACTTTTACTCTGGCTTAGATGGAAGGATAACCCAGCAATGCCTGTGGGGTTGACCTATGAAGGAGTCTCCACAGAGCCCTTGAAGTACTCTGGAGGGAGTGCAGCTCAGAGCACAGTGCTTCATGCCTTTGATGAATTCTTAGGCATTTGTCATAGCAAGGAAAGTGGTAAGTCAAAAACTTTCTTTTTCTTTTTGTTCCATAACAGGGAGGAAAAACAGAGATATCTTTACCAATTGATAAGACCAAGTGTAAATTAAAATGTCACGAAGTCTATACTTCTCCCAATCAACCAGGAGGCGATGTGCCTGCCAGATGTTATTGTGTCAAGTCAATTAATATTTGATCTCAGCAGGATATTGGGTTTCACTTCCATCTTAAAACATTGCTATATATCCAGCTGTTTCCTGTAGTTTTGTTTGGATTCTTAAGCAGAAGCTTCCTGTCTCTAAACTGGGAGAGAGATCTGGAGTTTGAAAGCTGTGGCATCAAGTTACTAACTCTGGATATAGCTGGTGATGGGTCTGAGCTCCTCCACTAAAGCCTTTCCTTGTAAAATTGCTGCAACCTCAGGCCAAGTCTATTTCGACTAGAAGAGGAGTCTACCAGGTTAGAAGCTGGAAATTATTCATTTCCTTACCTGCCAGCAGCAAGCCAATGTTTAATAGTTGCAAACAGGCCCTTCAGAGTACAGATTTTTCAAGTTGGATTAGAAAAAATGACTAGAACTTTGTGTCATAGAGTCCAGTCTCATCCACAAAAGTCAGTTGTCAAGAACTATGATAGTATTAAACACATAATGGATATTCTATAAATGATTGATCTATCTATATTTCCTATAAATATCTATTGATGTGATTTTTTTTAAGATTTTATTTATTTATTTGACAGAGAGAGCACAAGGAGGGGGAGAATGAGAGGGGGAAGCAGGCTCCCCACTGAGTAGGGAGCCCAATGCAGGACTCAGTCCTAGAATCCTGGCATCATAACCTGAGCCAAAGGCAGATGCTTAACCAACTGAGCCAACCAGGTGCCCCTATTGATTTGATTTTAAGCAACTTGACGTTGAGGCAATTATGAAAAAACAGTTGGTCATTCTTTATTTTCTTGCCCTTATAAAAGTCTTTTACTTTCCTCCTCCTTAGCATTCCTCCAAACAAAGCACCTAGGAAGCAAATTTTAGCAGAGTATTTAGCAAATCAGTTCAAGGGTTTATGCCTTACATTTGTAGATATCTCCCATGATGATTATTAGCAAGATACTTTGCTCTCTGTGGGTATACAATACATATTTATACATCGGCTGATAGATCTAGTTCTAACTTAGTTATCTGAGATGTGCTGCTTCATTTTTCCTTCCCATCTCCTAACAGTAGTCAAGGATATAGTATTTGACGCCTATGAGCAAAAGAGCCAGGAATGTAGATTGCACAGTTAGAACAAAAGTGAGTTTTTGCTGCACTAATGTCCAGAAAAGTAGACAGGCTCTCTTATCTTTCCATGTGGAGCTATGACCTTGTTCTGGTTTGTTCCTTTCAGCTGACTTTCTGCACAGGATGAGGGAGTACATGCCTCCTTCCCATAAGGCCTTTATAGAAGAAATCCATTCGGCTCCCTCACTGAGAGACCACATCCTGTCCTCTGGAAATGACCAACTTCTGACAGCCTATAACCAGTGTGTGGAGGCCCTGGTGGAGCTTCGCAGCTATCACATCACTGTGGTGACCAAATACCTCATCACAGTGGCCACCAAAGCAAAAGGCAGGAAGCCAAACCATCTCCCTGGGCCATCACAAGCCTTAGAAGAGAGGGGCACAGGTGGCACTGTAGTTCTGAGCTTCCTGAAGAGTGTCAGGGACAAGACCTTAGAGGCAATTCTCCACCAAAGTGATTAAGAGACTGCCCTCTGCCCAACAATGCAAAACCAGCAAACTTGGGTGTTCCCTTTCTCTCTCTCCCTTTGGAGCACACATAGGCCTGAAGAATAAGAATGTCTGGAATAATCTGAAAGGGATATCAGCCTTATATATGTTCCTGCTACCCTCCACCCAGCCCCACTATGCACACACACATATTACTGGGACAGTATTTAGATTCCAGAGTACCAATCAAGGAGAGTACCTGATCGTTGGGGGTAGCCTCCACCCAAGTTAACATCTGCTGACACAGTCCCCCTCCCCATATGGGTACTGGTCGAATGGAGCTTACAGCTTATCTCATCCTGTCTAAGAGGCTTTTCAGATTACTCAGCTTTCAAAGTCCTATATCATGCCACTTGGAAAAAATACCTGACTACTTTCCACATCCCCTAGGCCCTTAAACCCCACTCTGACTATATGTATATTATATGTACTGCATATATACTATAGTATACTATAGGTATTACAGTATACCATACATCATGTTCTCTCTCTCTCTCTGTATGTGTGTGTGTATATATATATACACACACACACACACACACACACAGCATATATATATATATATATATATATATATATATATATATATATATGAGAGAGAGAGATTTTTAGAAATTGGCTTATATGATTATGAGGCTGGAAATTCCAAAACCGCAGGGTAGACCAGTAAGCTGGAGGCCCAGTGATGCAACAATTGAAAGACTGGCTACCTTTTCATTTAAATGTTCATCTCATCCATACAAAACAGCCTCACAAAAACAACCAGAATAATGTTTGACCAAATATCTTGGCATCATGGCCCAGCCATGGTGACATAAAATTAACCATCAGAAACCTCCATGAGAAGAACCTGAATTAGGATCGTTATGGTATCTGACACACACCCTCCCCACATCTTTATCAGAGAAGAATCATCCTTTGTAATAATGGAGAGGAGGTACAAAAATGGTGTAGAGTACAGCGACTCCCCAAGAGATGCTGGGAAAGGATGTAGCAGTGCATTGGAGAGAAACCCCTAGAGAAAAGCACAGAATACTGCACCAAAAAACCTGACCACATTGACAACTAAAGGCTTTCTATGCTGCATGATCCATGTAGAATAAAACCATCGTCTCTGTTAATAAAAATAACAACCCATTGTTTCTCAAAGTTGGTATTATAGCGGTAAGCTTCATCTGGGAAGGGGGATAAGACCTTAAAGTCCTAAACCTTGTACATGAGAGTCACCTTCATCCATGCTGCTCCACTCTACCTAGTCCTACCGGGGTCAAGGGGTCACCAATTCCTTTTCATACTGTGTCCACATACAGCTAGGATTACTTTAGTAATTTTTAGAAGACTTTAGTAAAGATTCAGGGATGATTTCAAAAGGAAGCAAACAAAAACCATAAAGGAATACTAGTTAAATGGCCTGGGTAACATGCCATGTGCATTCTGGAGGCACACAAGTCCTACACTTCCTCATTCCTAGGCTGCATGCTGGTGAACGGGATCCCCCAAACTCTCAGCTTATAGGATGTCAAACCAAGACAGTGAGGCTCAGAGACTGAGTTTCTCCTCCCCTGTTGTTAGTCTGAAATTTGTTTTTTGTTGTCTCAGTCCAATCTATATTGGGTTAAAATCAAAATAAAATGAAACACCAATGATAAAGAAATGCTTGATACCTGTGAGATCCCATCCAATTTAAGATCTGGGATAAAAAACTTGAGGTAACTACAAGCCAATTATTCCTTCCACAACAATGAATTTCACCCACCACGTTCTGTCTTGCATTTTCTGGTGCACAAATGTCCTATTTGCTTTGCTAATGGAAGAAATGTTCTTCTCTTTCTTTGTTCATGTAACAGTAAACTTAATAAAGAAGTCGGATATCACTGTTTTCTGAAATGCAATCGCTAGTTAATTTTTGCAGTTTAGCATCTGCTTCCCACGAACATTAAAAAACTGAGTTCTTGAATGTAAGCATCATCAAAAATAAATGATTTTTCGTTTGCAAAGTAATTTCCTTTGTAAACTCACAAATCTATTGGCCCACGTGGTTCTATGGCAGCTGTATAGATTTCAAACCAAACTGGATTACGGTATTTGCCTTTAATTATCCCCAAATAATTTTTCTTTTAAAGGTGTCAATCAGAATTTGGTGTCACTGTACATTGGGAGCCATTTGCAGAGGGCCTTAGACCCCTACTCTGAGCCTTCACAGGCCATATCTTTCTTCACAAGGCAAGGAGTCCTGGGACCAGTAGAACTTGCCTTTAGGATGATCAGCTTTTTAAAGACCCAATCAGGGGCACAGCCACACTAGACAACATAACAATAATGATAATAATAAGAAGAAAATGTAAGTATGTACATATCTGTTATTAATTTGTCACTAAAATATGAAAAATAAGCAGCCATTTGAAATTATATTGCCATATATGGCATTATTTACTTCTCTCTTGCATAAATGCTATCATTAAAAAAAACAATTGGCTATTTAACAGTGGCAGTAAATAGTAACTAATAAGACTATTTGAACAAATAATATGTAATTGCTTTCATTTTAATTATGTAAACTTTCCAAGAGAGTTCAGGAAATGTGATGACTATACTCACAATGTAAAAATCATATTCATACTGTCTCAACACAAAACACAATGGTTCATGCTGCCCACTGTTCCTACTTAGAATTAGGACTTGTTGCTTCAGGTGCTGGCTTTGGTCATATCACTCAGAGCGAGCAGTAATGGGCTGTCCATCACTGTGAACATGAACTACATTTGTCAACATAAACGGTCAGGGGAAAACTCACTAACAACGACTATGGAAGATGGATAATCGACACCATAGCCATTTGACACTAAAACAGGGTAACCATCATATGGATTTTTCATTCTTCTTTTAATCTTTTGACACAAGATTGAAAAGTGGGGGCTTTAAAACCCAATGAAGGTTTTCATAGGACATGGGATTTCTAGTGGTAAACACAAGTCAGATTTAGGTAACCAAGTTTGGTCACCAGACCTGTCCTCTAAGAGCCCACACCATCTCCATTACCATCATTTTCCAAATCATGCTCTGGGTGCCTGGAGCTCCAGAATACCTTGCACAAATGGTCTCAAGAGTGCTAACCCTGTATCCTTACCAAAGAATACAAAAATACCGAATCAAAGGGATACATGTATCCAGATGTTTATAGCAGCATTACCAACAAGAGCCAAATTATGGAAAGAGCCCAAATGTCCATCCAAATGATAATGGATAAAGAAGATGTGGTACACACACACACACACACACACACACACACACACACACTGGAATATTACTCAGCCATAAAAAAGAATGAAATCTTGACATTTGCAACCACATGAGTGGAGCTAGAGTATATCATGCCAAGTGAAATAAGTCAGAGAAAGACAAATACCATATGATTTCACTCACATGTGAAACTTGAGAAACAAAACAGATGAACATAGGGGAAGGGAAAAAAAGAGAGGAAAGCAAATCATTAGAGACTCTTAATGATAGACAACAAACTAGGGTTGCTGGATGGAAGTGGGCAATGGAGATGGGCTAAACTGGTGATGGGCATTGAGAAGGACACTCGCTGTGTTGAGCACCCGGTGTGATACATAAGTGATGAATCACTAAAGTCTGCTTGTGAAATCAATATTACACCGTATATTATCTAACTAGAATTTAAATAAAAATTTGAAAAAATTAAAAAAGAAAGTATCTTTTTAGGTAGAATAATAGCACATCTTTTATTTATTTGCTAACCTAATTTATAATTTTTACATATGTGTAAACAGAAATGGTACGTGGATGTCCATTTGCACTTTTACCCCAGGCCCTGGCAATCACTGGCGGTGGGGATTGTCTGATGCAGATCAAGCGGGTTATTTAAACTCTGCTTGTAAGGCCGGCTTAGGACCACCAGAGGGCAATCGCGACCCGCGATGCTCAGCCCCAAAGCTCCAAGCAAGGTGTGGATTGCCCGCTGATCTCACAGGCCAAAGGTTTTTTCCTAGTTTTTAAAAGTATCTCTTTCTCCACAGTAGCACTGGGTCCAGAAATCCGGAGAGGTTATCACCCAGAACTCTGCCTCCACACAGAACCACATAAATCAATCCAGATAGATATCTGTGTCCAAAAGCAAACCATTCTTTACGCATTTTAATAGGGATATTCTGGGTGCTAGAACTGTGGAAATTTGCATTCCTCTTTTTATATTTTTCTTTATTAAAAAGAAAAACATCAATGCTTTTCTTTTCTTTTTTTAAAGCTGGAAAGGAATTCTTCATCTTACTTCCCTGACTAGTGGTATCTGAGGATCTTTACTGTCAGGGAAGCTTAAATGCTGCCAAATTGTGAAGATTAGTAATAGGACTGAGCATTGAAGAGAAAGATCACATAAATATAGGAAACAGGAAAAGCCAAATAACTGCCTTAGGCTTAGAAAAAGGTTAGTTGAGGTTTTGTGTATAAGAGAAGAGAACTGGGATCCCTGGGTGGCGCAGCGGTTTGGCGCCTGCCTTTGGCCCAGGGCGCGATCCTGGAGACCCCGGATCGAATCCCACGTCGGGCTCCCGGTGCATGGAGCCTGCTTCTCCCTCTGCCTGTGTCTCTGCCTCTCTCTCTCTCTCTGTGACTATCATAAATAAATAAAAATTAAAAAAAAATAAAAAATAAAACCTAGCTTTAAAAAAAAAAAAAAGAGAAGAGAACTATCATGACTCATTAAAAATTTCTTTCCTCATTGCCCCCTCTTACCCATCCCAACTCTGTGGCACTTAGCCATGTGTGACTGGTGGAGAACACCTCCTATGACAATAGCTCAGTGATGCAATCTGCACCTGCAAATAGGCAGTCCAGTTAAAAATGTCCTATTATGGCAAGCACTGGAGTTATGGCAAACTCTGGAGAGGGAAATGGGGATCGCCTGAGTCAGTGGACAGAATAGGCAATGTGGCATCTAGCTGAACGGCTCACTGTTACCAAGCTCAACCTGCTGTCAAAGAACAAAAGAGGCATAAAAGAACACAAACTTAGAGTGTCCTAATTTATCATTTTCCTTTTCCATTAACTTCCAGTGACCAATAAAGACACTGAACAGAGAACTTAAAATTCTCATGTGAAACTAATGAAGACAACAAATCTACACTGTATACTACTCAATCCCCTGTAGCTGCATAGTAAATACAAATTTGAGATTAGTGATCTCAACACAGAGTATGAAGTTCATACGAATCTACTCATAACATCCTTCCTTTCCATGGCACCTGTCTGGGTACAAATTCTAGTTCCTCTGTTCAATAAATTTGCAAAATCTTCATGTTTCACTTTTAGAGTAATAATCACACTAACATGGTATGATAATTATATGAGTTATTATATGTAAAAAGCACTCAGACCAGTGTGTACATAGAGCAAACATCATCTAACCACATACTGCTATTATAATTGCTGTTATTAATTTCCAGGGACTGTTAGATGCACTGTTGAATAGTGTGGAGGAAAGCTTGCTTTCATAAACCCAAGACAGAGTCATAGAAGAGTTCCATTTATTTCCGTCCTCTCAGACTTCACCCGAAAGGAGAAATCTATGATCTAAGAACCCCAGAAAAAGGCCTTTGGAAAAAACTGAGAAATTCCTATTGCATTGCTTTCTCATCTTTTTTAGGGAAATATTTTTCTTAGATGGTTTGATTGCTATCATGTTCACTACACAAAAACCTTTCCATCACTCCTTCTAAACTCTAAATAATATAAAATATCTAATTTTAAATCAACCCAAAATCATGTCAGCGTTGTGAGAGAAGTGGAGATACGTAGATTTTGAAACAAAAGTAGAACAGCTAGAACTAGGATCAGAGCTAAAGACTTATTTTCTTTAAAGATTTTATTTATTTATGTGAAAGAGAGCAAGTGCAGAGGGAGAGGGAGAAGCAGACTTCCCACTGAGTAGAGAGCCTGATGGGGCACCCCCTCCCAGGACCCTGGGATCATGACCTGAGCCCTGAACTGAAGGCAGATGCTTAACCAACTGAGCCACCCATGTGTCCCCAGAGCTACAGACTGATAAGCATATTGGTAAGAAGGAGCTAATTTTCTGGGAGAAGGAATGCTATATCCTACTACCTGATGGGATGGGCTAAGCTGTAAAGTATGGGAAGTTTATCCTCCACACTTCTAACTTCTCTTGTCTGTGCCACCAATTCTCATCTTGGTGACATCTCTCAGGACAATGTTATATTTTATATAATCAAAAATATCTTAAGGATAAGTTTGTTGTTCTCTAATATTTTAAAATACGTCGGGATAGAATTGTGGCTCCATAGGGTCATTAATGACTCAGGTTTCTTCCTCTGTTCCTTGATGTCTTCAGGAAGTTTCTTCCACTTCTTGGTTTAAAATGGCTGCTGGAGCTCCAGCCGTTCTATCTGCCCTGTAGATCACAAGAAGAAAATGGAAAAGGATAATTTTCTGTTCTTTTTGAGGAAACTTCCAAGAAGTCCCTTACTCTTTTTTTTTCTTCCATTTTTTATTGATCATGTCTTAGTCTCATAGCCTTCTTGGCTACAATAGAGACTGGCAAGCTTAGTCCTTAAACAGAACAACCATACACTTAGCAAAAAAATAGCGTTCTGTTAAAAAAAGGAAGAAGGAGATGAAAACACGTTGAGGTAGGCAACCAAACCCATCTGTATGCTATCTTTCTTAAATAGCCAAATTTTCTCAGGGCCCTTCATGTTTCTCAAAACTTTTCTTCAGAAAAGAATCTAAAATTCACTCTGTGGTATAAGAGATTGGTAAAGAAGGAAAGCATTAACCTTGCCCAAGGATTTTGAATTACCATAGGCTGAACGCCTTAAGTTAGGTTATTAAGCAATGCTGGTAAATTTTCAAGGGAAGGAGAAGGACAGGGGAGTAGAGGTGGTGTTGACAGGAGCAGGGGATGAACTCCCTCTGAGT